ATTAAATAAGTACACCATTTATCTAAATTTTATTAAAACAACTTATTAAGTATAGATTGTTATTCTAATAAAAAAGTTGAACACATCTCTCAACCTATTTACTGTTAAAGGAGGATGCAAAATTAGGAATAGGCTAGCATGATTTCTATCTAATCCATATTCACTAGCCTTCCTGTTAGTTTTAATTCTTATTCAACCTTCACCTCATTTTTTTACATTAATTGCGCTTTTGGAATTTATAGCTACTTGTTGCTATTATTAATTTTTAAATTTAATTAAATTTCTTTGGAATTTATTTTTATACCAACTTCATTTTTTTTTTGAATATTTCTACCCCTAAAAGTTAACTTTATGTTTGGTGTATATTGTAGCTATTGGAAACCTAAATCAGACAGATTCAAGCCTAATTCTTAAAAAAAGGTTAGAGTTTAGGTATCACTAAACTAATTATTGGGGGCGATGGAAAACTTACTCTCTCTTTGAGATTTTGAAGTCATGAGAGTTGCAAGGAACTATAAGATAACTCAACTTTCTTAAGATAAATTGTGTTATTGATTCTGAAACTGCAATTAATTAAATAATTCGTTTTTATGGGTAACAAATCAGGTTCAGAATTTGGAGGCATTATGATTAGAACAGAAAAATCTTTATATTTTGCTGGAGACGTGGTCATAGGTAAAATTGCCCAAACATTCTAGGAAATATATACCTTAATATAATAAAACCAGGTTATCATGGAAATGTTGTTCAATTTTCAATCGTTGGAAAAGAGAAAACTTGTTGGACAACTGGATCTGGTAAAAATAGAACAACACATTATGGTAAAAATGTATTCCATAGGGACACTGTCGTAATTAATACTTTTTTAGATGAAAATTTAATGGTTGGACAATTTGTTTTTCCTTTTGAATTACATCTTCCACCAAATCTGCCTGGGTCTTTTTAGTATTCACATGACATACTGGCAAGCATTAATTATAAGGTCAAGGTTCGAGTAATATCAACTTCTAAATCAATTAATGATATCAAGAATAAATAAGAGATTATTGTTCGAGAACCAATTAAAGAAATTTTATAAGTTTCTTCAAAATAAGAGACAGCCAATCTGACAACATGGTGCTGTAAAAAACAAGGAGTAAAAATGTTAACAAATATAGTCTTCGTCAATATCCGCAAAAGTAGAGAAAAATTTATATTTTCCTGGAGAATTTGTTTAAATAACATATGATATTGATAATTCAGATTGTAAACTTAATATAGAAAGCGTCGATGTGATAATAGTGAATAGACTAAACCTCAAATCTAATTCAGGTTCTCAATGTCTTCGAGAATTTAAACTAAGTGCTTTATCTCACAATGGAATATCAAAAGGATCTAAAATATAACCTGCTTCTTAAATTGGATGTTCTTTATAATTGGTTAATACTAAACAGCCAGAAATTGTTCTCACACCTTCAACAACAGGAAATTTTGTGAATTCATCATACTATGCGAAAATACTTCCAAATTTTGAAGGTAACGAGTTTAAATATTGATAGGCTGTACATGTTGTAGTTCAAAACCAATAGTACTAGTACCAATAACCCTATTAGCTGTTCTTCCAAATGACTACTTAGAACCAATCGTGTAACCTGAAAATTGGTAACCAAAAGCCTTTTAGCCTTTGATTATAAAATCGAATAACACCTATCCTGCCGATAACAACAACAATTTGAAAAATATGGCTAATCCTATGAATAGTTGATTTATTTAGATAAATATCCATTTAAATAAATTTATAATTTCTAAAATTTATGAATAAAAAGGTAGGATAAGCAGAATTCTTTATTAAGGTATCATTTTCATTATATTCTTAGAATCATAATAACAATTTTTTAAGCGAAAGTTGAAATTCTAAAAATATTAAAAAAGTCTCAATGAGCTTAAAATATATATACATGGTTCTATCATTAAGGAATTATGGAAAAAATATTAAAAACAAGGTGATTAAGTTAATGATCTATTGAATGAACTTATTTTTAAGTTAACAGTAAAGAATTTAAAAAATGAATTAAAGAATTAATATTAATGTAGAATAAGGCAGCAGAGATATCGTTAATTAAGTATAAAGATGGTCATCTATTCAAATTTCAGATATTATATATCAAACAAATTAAAATATAAACAATCTTCTATGATGAGACTGTTTAAGAAATCATAATTTACTCTTATTAACCTAAAAAATTACTGAAATAATAATCTAAATACTTCTAATCGAAAGGCTCTTCTAAATATCTTAGGAAGTACGATTTTTGGCGCAAATTAAAGAATATTATTGATAATTCTTAGCACAAATAATTGATTAACAATTTTCAAAATAAATCATAGCAAAAGTCATTAGAAAATAGTGGATATAAATTCAAAATTTGTATCAATTTTTAACTAATACATATCAGTGGGCTAATTGAATAATGCTTATATCACCATCTTTCATATCTACTTCATCAGATTGATATTTTAAACATTTAACAGTTTACTTTTTCAAAAGAATCCAATTATTTAAGATTTAATTATAAGATACTTGAATTTTTGTAAGTAATTATCTTAGTCTACAGATTAAGGAGGATTAAAACTTGTTTTGATAATGATTCACGAACAAATAAAAATATTGTAGTTGTAAGTATTTATGTATTTGATTTGATTATGATTATAAAACCTGTTATAGTCATATCTATCTTAATGTGCAAATATTATTGCTTTATTGCATTTTAAATTATCTAATGATAATTAGAATGGAGTCAGGCGTATTTTACTTATTCATCAAATTATGGCCTGTATTCAACCTTACACCCAAATCTGAACTATATTGTGTCTGAATGTGCTTCTTTCGTTTAATGCAACTAAAACTCTACCAATTGATATTTTTTAAATTATGAAGCTTTTTTGATATTTAATATCTATATGTCGGTCAATTATAGTTCATTCTCATTCGGAATATTATAATGACAACCCAATTTAATGTTAATAATTTTGGTATCGTAACTAAAGAATCTACTCTCGAACACACATCTTCATCTCTTTTTATTGAATCAAAATTCAGATATTTAATTGATGATATCATATTACACTTGGGTATTTTAGCATTTCTATGGAGTTGTTGTTCTTGCGGTATTGTAGGAGTGGCGGTTGAACATTATTTGCTTGAAGTTGAAGCATAAATGAATTTCAATTCAAAAGAGTTAAAAAATGTTGTTTATATTTCTTTGCAAA